AAGTCAAGATTGGCCCAACACGCCTACGAGGAGGACCATTCTGTGAAGTGGGATGGAACGGGGATCCTGGACCTCGAGAGGAACGCTACCGTCAGGAAATACAAGGAGGCAGCATATATGGCTTGGACTGGCAACACGATTAGCCAACCCAGCTTGGATTTCTCCATCATTTGGTCACCCCTGGTGTTTGAGGAAATGAATGGCATTCATAACAGCAAGAAGAGGGGTGATTAGAACTCCCTAAGTTTTTTCCCCCTTTTTTCCTTTTTTTCCTTTTCTCCTTCACTCTACATTCCTGTAGAATATTTTTATTCTTTCTTTACTCCTTGTCCCAGACGATTTGGGTCTTTCAATAATTTTTTATCTTGATTCGTCTTTTTATCTCCCATTGACAACTTCCCACTATGAATTGATCACCCTTGATTTCATCCCCTGCCAGTTTGTCCAGTGATTGAGATTAGCTTGATCTAAGGGACCCAACTGTATAGGATACAAGAACCCTCCTTATCTTTTAATTTTTTTCCCAATTTTCCCCGTTTTTACCTCCATTTTACTCACCTGAGGACGGTAGCAGATCCAGCTTCCGAAACGTTGTGGTTCAACTGACTGGGACGATGGATACAGTCCAGAATTTTAGTTTAAATATTTTAATTCCATAGCTTGAATGATGTTCCTTTGAGGTTTCAGCTAATATTGTGACACAGCAAAGAAAGCTTATTTTATTCCAGACAAAATACAGTCATATTCTTTATTAAACCACTAGTATCTTGTCTCCTTCATCTGAGTTTTGCTAGTTGATTTTAATTCTAGTAAACAGCATGAACTTATCATGACTCTATATGAACATTACCTTTTGAATGTTTTCATTTCATCCTCCCAGATGATAAACATGTCATATTGCCACAGCTATAAAATGATTTAAAATAACTCTGAGATAATTTTAACATTATAACAAGAAATCAAATGAGTCAAGAGAGCTCAGTTGTTTCCTGACTGAGGCAAGGAATGTTTCTCTTCTGCAGTGTCCATGCCAGATGCAGGGATCACCCAGCATCCTATCCAATGGGTACTGGAGCTCTTTACCTTGTGGTGAAGTGGCCAGGGCATGAAGCTGACAACTCACCTCCATCCAACATGTCTTCATGGCACAGTGCTTAACTGATTAAAAACAGGGAAAAATTAAACTTAACCAAACAAAACAAACTCCAGGAAAAAATCCCTAACTCTTTCTTGATCAGTTTAGCCAAAATAAAATAAAGCCATTTTGTGCCAAATGTGAACCTACCTCTGCTTGATAAACTAAAGTTTTCTAGCTGCTGAACAGCACACAATTCATACATGTGACCATCATACCCATATCTTACAGCGTGAATGCATTTCAAATAATCATTTAATTGCTGAAGCAATGCTCCCAATGCAACAAAGTAGTTCTGTATATGTAACAATTCTCATTCTGATAAGCAACAGTTTTCAAAGCCCCCATCTCGGCCTCCTGTCCAGTCTGTACTGGGGATAAATCAGGAGGGGAGTGAAAGGACCACTCACCTCCATCTAGTGCCATGGTCAAGAATGGTGGAAATACACCTCCATGCCCCCATGTCTCTATGGCATAGCGCTTAACTAATTAAGCATATGGACATCATTTTTCTTAATCATGCAGTGAGACATGTGAGTGTTCTAAAAAAATAATGAACGTTTGGTTTCTGTTTATATAACTAGAGATTTATTAACATAAAATTACAGAAATCCATTCAACTTGACAATCATAACATCACATCTTTCAATAACAAATCCATCTCCTTCAGGAGCTCTTCGTCAACCTGCATGATCAGAATGTCATCATCTTCACAGCCAGAAGGTTCTGCCTGAAATAATAAATACAATGTATGATAAGAAATGGAAGATTTGCAATAAACTAACCTGATTCTCAGAGCAAAAATAAAATTAGAAAGTTTGTGACTATAGTATATTAACACCGCTATTCATATTTTGAACACAGTCCACTGTCCTGGATTTTTTTACAGCAAACGATCAGAGACTGGATGCTGGCTGCCTCCGTACCGAGATATTTTTTCTTTATTTAAAACACCATTATGGAGACTGGACTCTTCCTCCGTCCTCCTCCCACAAATGGTTTATCTAAAACTTGGTTTATATTCCCTGCCTCATGTTTGCTCTAGTAACAGAACTTAAGGAGTAGATTTAGACCTATCTGAGGACGGAGGCACATTGTAGTGTCCACAAAGCCCATTTTCTATTATTATTTTATTGGGTTCATTATGCAGCCATACTAAGGGGGTATCCAGTTATTGCTTCAGATACTCAAATTGCAGCAAAAGGAAAGTGTACGAGTAATACTTCCAAGAAACCCTTATCTGAATTTATCTCCATAATTTATAACAAATTTTGTGCACTTTTGCAGACTGCATTTCTTAAAGCATCATGTTTGGAACTGATGTGTTGGAAAGATAAGGAACTAACACGAGGAAATTCAAAGCAACCACATTCATACATTTCCTGATGCTATCTTAACTTTAGGGTCATGTAATTTCCCCATGCTGCAGAGTTAAAATTAATTTATCTGATGCAATTTGGTTTCTTGCAGTCAGTCTCATGGCCTACAAAAAATTAATCATGACTTTCTAATATAAATGACCTCTGTGAATTTTTGCTTGCCAGCTCATAAAATCAACTCATCTCAGATGAGCAGGTAACCATATTTTCCATGCTCTTATAAATTTCCATATAAAACAGTTACATTATGCTTACTGTGTAACTCCGACTTTTTGTCCAGAGGTTTGTCATTCCTCCGCCTTCTTTTCACCTGTCGTCTTGCAAGGATCTCTAATTCAGCAACTTCTCCCTGTAATTAATAACAAGATATCAGCTTCTGAACAACACTTCACGACACAGCAGAAGTTTTATGTGCCATTAAATTTATAATTATAGGTGCATTATTGTATTCTGTTTCAAAATTGTACACCATTCCATCTACCTGTGTGTGACAACTTCTAATCCAAATGAATGGATCTTAATACACTTTAGTTTTGCAATCCCTTACTACTATTTATCTAGTTAACTGAACTGTGGTCCATGGAGTAACCATTCCATGAACAGCTAATATAATTTATATGTTAAAAGATTACTGTCTTCTGGGATGTGACACCATGCAGTTTGGTAGCCAGGTATGAATCTTTCAGATCTGAACCCCTCTGACTCTTCAACCCTAAATATGGAGGCAGCAGGTTCCTCTGAAATATAGGTACTTATCTATTGTGTCACACACGGGAATGCTGTAATCTTAATATTCACTGCTGTCACGGCCTCAAATATCGTAACTGACACACATTTGAGAAAATATTAAGCAGAACAAAAATATTTCAGGAAGAAGTCACAACCACAAATGAATTTTATAATTGGTTTCATATGACTTTTCTTCATGCAACATATTTTCAAGACAATGATAATTAATTGTTAAAACTGACTGTAGGAATATAAAATGTGCTGGTTTGTGAAAACTGAACACCCACTGAACATCTATATTTTATGCATAAGATATCCTCAAATAATTATGAATCACAGAAGGGATTTAAATACGGAAACAAAGCAAAACTCTCATCTCTTTTCTTTGGTAATATTGATTAGTAATGGTACATAATATAAAATGATCAGTTTTCTGGACATTATTCACTAGCTTAATTTTCATCTGAAACAACACTTCAGAGATTGGATCTGTTTCCATCCTCATCTTCCAAAACCAATCAACAGAGCCAGTCCCTATCTCCACAGATAGATCGCTGCAACTTTTGGATATCATTTATCTACTATAAGAATGAAAATGTTCACGCTTCTAATTCTATGGATAAACTGTATTAAGAAATAATGCCTCATTTTAGTTTGGTTCTAAAGTAATACTACACTAAATGTCTGTCTGCTTCATGTTTAGCCCTCATTAAATCACTATAAATACAAAGAACAAATTTCGAGGAGATGCTCCCAGTCACTTGTTACTTTTCCCAATTACCCGACACAAGCAATACAAACAGAACGACTGTGCAGTCTGTAAAGTGAGATAAACTCCAGCCCTGAACCTATGCAAGTTGAAAGTACTTTAAAATTATCAACCTTTGGGTAATTTATGGAAATGGAAGTACATATGGCAATCACATAAAAAGTTTGAGCCAATGATGATCATTAGTGATAAACTATATATAACTTGAGAAGCAAAATACATATACTGATAGTATAAACATATCTACTATGTATACCAATAGTATAAAACCCTAAAGACTTTATAACCCTAAACTGAAAAATTCTGATAAATTTTCAGATTCCTTCAAACTGACAGTTTAGAAATGTTAAGGTGGTTTTGATTTCTGTGTATCCTGCCATGTCAGAACAAAATCTAGTTACTTCACTTGGTTTCACTGCTCTCTTCTCAACATGGCCTTCCCGTGGGCCCCAAAATCGTTCAGTATCTGAGCAATTGTCAATGTGACTACGTTTCCTCTTGCTTGATTCAAAAACTGTTCTGCCACCAGCTTCCTCTGCTGCTTCCGTAGCTCCTATGCACTGTGCAGCGCCACCTCTGGGACCCACAGCATATCCTATAAAAACAGTGGAACAGTTCTAAAATTGTTGCTGGCACTTTCACACTGTATCGTGTAACTCTGTAATCCACCGTAAATTTAAAAAATTAACTCTCTCTCCCGTCAGGACAAATGGGACATCACACACAACCCTAGCAATTTCATATGTTACAGGAATGAAGCCATCCTTCATATCAGTAAGGATGTGAATGCCATCTTAATTCAGCGAAACTCTGTGACATATAGCACTACAGCCTATCAACACAAAAAAAACATATCACTGTTTATATAGATTTTGTACATGAATTTGGAACGCCTGAAAGGGCTTGAATTGCATAAAGGAATCACATCATGTTATTACTTCACTTGCTTTACTAAATACAGAGCAAATTTTTAGAATAGACATAAAATCATATAAAAAGAACCTTGAATAGCTTTCAAACATATTCTGATTAAACACCCTGATGATGACATTTCAATGTCAAAATACATCAGGTTATAAATTAATTAAATCAAGCAAATATCTGATTCTGTATTCTGACAGCGCTTTTATAGGTTTCTAGATTTACTGCTAGTACATCTATACAGGTGGATGTTATGAATGTAATGCTGCCAACCAAAGCTATACTCATGTATCTGGCACGTCGGGTAGCTCAACACCAAACACACGTACTACCTGCTATTTCTTCCTTCACACTGACAGTGAGAACACTCATACGGTGTCATCTGGATATTCCAATTTTTAATCTCTCTCAAGAGTGGAAGCTGATGTAAAATCTCTATTGGGGGTAAAGCAGGAGGGGAGTGAAGCTGACCACTCACCCCCATCCAGTGCTGAGGCCAAGAAACTAAGCACACTGACAACATTTCTTTTAATCATGCAAGTTCCAACTAGTTCTGACACATCTGAGTGCTCTAGGAAAATAACAGACTATTGGTTTTTGTTTACATAAGTAGACATTTCAAACTTCAAATCATTTAATAACACAACCAACTCCCACAAGAGGTCTGTGTCAGCATCTGAGACCAGGACATCATCACTCTTATCATCCCCTTTGCCACTTGGCAGGAAATGTGAATGTACGGTACTGCTGATATTGCCAGGCGAGTCAACGGGTTCTTTTTCAGCTTCTTCCAGTTGCATCAGCCTCGCTTTTCTTAGGAGGGTCACCATCATAAATCTTCTCCCGTTTCGATGCCATTCCTTTCTGCTGCCTGAAGATTTTGCCTAAAAAATATATATGTACAATAAGAAATGGCAGAAATTAGCCTGAAGAAAAGGAATAAAGTCTCAAACTTCAAAGAAATATATGATGAAGCTCCAGTGGAACATCACAATGACAGATACATAATTACCTTAACCCTTTGACGTGGTCATTTAAATCCCGCGGCCGCGGCTCCTGCGGTAATATATTCAGCCGGCCATTTAAATTTTGCTCGAAAATTATTTATTCATCATTGTTCTTAAATTCTATGAGATAGGAACATGAAACTTTCACTAAAATGATCTTAAATGGTGGTTTTATAACCTTACCTTATAATATGGGCGCCCTGTATCTCGGCCATGGAAGCAGGTTGTTTAGTATTTCAGCAGTGAATGGTACGCCTTGAAGGATGAAACTTTCACTAAAATGATCTTAA